TCAATCCTCTGAACAATCCTCTAAATCTGAAATCTTTCTTTTTTCTGAAGTAAGGTTTCTTATTTGGATCTCTCACGAGCAAACTAACAGATGTTAGTAGCACCTATACTTTAACTGTTCTGCCTGCTTTGTTGCCTTAGTCCTCTGCTGTCTCCTAGTCTTGGGATAAGACCTGGGGAGGAGGCAGGTGGTTAAGTTGCACAGCACAGTTAGAACAAGCTATTTCTGAGTGTTCTTGAAAAAAATTAGTGGCCTAACAGAGAAGGTGACTGGGAATTTAGGGCAGGTGCAAGTCAGAAAGAGGGCTACCCTGCCAAATGTGGGGGTTTGGAGCCCAGTTTCCTGTGTTCCTTGGTGGGTCCAGCCCTTAAAGCAGTCAGTTTCCTCACAGCAACATTGTTTAACCCCAAGGTGCACAGCCACGGGAGAGCGGAAGACAAGAAGGAGCAGTATCATGAACATATTAGTGTCAGAGAAGCTCTTTAAGCTAAAGCAAAGTATCTGAAATGAAAAAAGAAAATAACAGGTTCTAACTTCCACCTTCTTTTGTAAATTGTGAGTTTCTTTTTCGTCCTGTTCATCCAAACTGGTAATTGTCTTTCAAACACTCAGAAGTCTTTCTCAAAGAGATGTGAGTTTACGCCCTTTAAAGGTAGTAGTTGTACTGTTAATCACTGAATTTTCCTTTAAAAATTGAACTTAAACATTTACATTTTTGCCCCATCATAAAAGATTAATTTTATTGTTATGTAAAAGGTTTTACTTCTCTTTAATCTCAGATTTTCATTTTCCAGTCACACAAAAGGTAGTTACCCTAGAATACCCTTAAAGGTATTCAAGAGCGGTTTTTTAATGACAACACATTTTATTATATTTCTTTCATCAAAGTTTCTAAGACCTTAAAACAACTACAGAGTTATTTTGCAGTTTAGATAGTGTGTTGAGCTGATTACTATCCATACTTGTGTCATTTTGCTTCCTTGATTATTTTTTCTGCCTGTTAACTGTTTGAGCGACTGGTACAGCATGAAATAGCACAGTAATTGTTCAAAATAAAATTTCCAATTTACAATTAATGAAGTTTATTCAAAAGAAATTAAAAAATTTCCAGAAGGATAGGACAAATCTATGGTAAATATTGAAACTAAACAGCAATAAACAATAGTTTGTACTATTTTGCACTGGAAAGTCTACTTACATAATTCAAACAGCAAACAAACTCTTGCTGGGTCCCATTCTGGCAGACTTATAAAATATTTAAAGAGTTTTAATACTACATTTCAAATTGAACTTTTGGAAGTTTCTCTTGTGTGTAGCTTACTAGTTTTTAAATCAGTGAGAATATTGATACATTTTGAGTTGCTTTGGTTTTGGTTTTAAACAGTATCAGTCTCTTGTTCAGCTGCTGTTCACTGATATTACTATGGTACAAAAATGAAGCTGTTGTTTTGGGTCTGGTTTTGAAAAAAAAAATAATATATTGTTCTTATTATGCTATGTGTGATGTGATTTTCCCTGTGGATTATCCTGTTAGAAGTAATATGTTTACAGAATTTGAATTAAAACAGATTAAATACCTGCAAAGATGTGCACTACAGATTTTGTTTTCTTCCTGAAATCTCAAAAATAAGTAATTGTTTTGAAAAATCAAGCTAAAAGTATCAAGATGGAAAAGAAAAAGGGCAATACCAGAAATAATCAAAACAATCTGGTATTCCAGCGACTTAACTTCAACCTCTCCCCCTCTTTTTTTACCCTCAGTAAAGTAGGGATGTATTTTGATTGTCTCTATAACCAGTGAAACAATACCATCTTCTCAGCTTATGGACATTTCTGTGTCAGGATTCCAACTGAGAACCTCTGTGTAATCAAATCCAGTGCATTGTCATTTTGCCTGTTTAACACCAATGGGATCATAAGAAATGACCCAGTGATACAAGGTTTTATTTGTAACTCTGTGTACAACTTAGAATTATCTGCTATGACATTTGATAACTCAGGAAATAAACCAACTTATTAGTAGTACCGTTCTGTGTATCCTCATCAACTTCACATGCAAGCATTTATATATCTGAAAACCTTCAGTGAGTGAAATTAAGAAACAAAAAACATCCCTTGCAATGTGTCCTTGTTCAGGAGTACACAAAACCACAATAAGATGGTTTCTAATGGTACATGAAATTGTAAACAATTTAAGTCTTCAGCGATAAGTTGAAAGGACACTTTAGTTTAGGATTTTAGGTTTTTAGCTGAATGACGCTATTATTGCTCAAATAGCGAAGAGAAGCCTTGTGTCCATGTTATTATCAGAAGAACCTAGACTCCTATTTTGCCACGCACATGAAGAAAGCTTTCCATTGGAGAAGGCAACGCAAAATGTGCTGTTCACTGTCAGCTTCCTTTCTAGCCAGCTGAGTAGAAATGATACCTGTTTTGTAGGCAGACTTATGATGCCTCCACCACTAGCCCCTTTCAAAAAACAAATAATAAAAAAACCAAATACACATCATATCTAGCAACATTTCTTAGTACACTTCAAGAGAAAAGGGGAGTCAAGCATAGGTGGGCCAGGCACACAGTTTGTAGTATGCAGCCATCTTGGTAACACCTTCATTTACTGGGATCCTGTCCACAGTAATTCAGCAGATTTGTAAAAGGCCAAAAGATGTGTAGATCCTAATTCTCAGGTCTGCCTTCTAGTCCTGTTTCTTTAAGGATTAATTTTTTTTGTCTGTTTTTTCAATTTCTGTGTGATCTCTTCTGTATGTTTCAGCAGAATATATACATATGCACACATACAACTACATATGTATGTGTATTGTTTTGTAAATGTTCTCAGTCATGCGTTTTTCTGCTTTGCATCATTTATTCATATACCTTCCACGTTCTCATTTATTTTTTGTGCTACTAAACCTTATAATAAATTATTAAATATAATCTGACAGTGACAGAGTCTTCATGTTTTATTTTCTTCTGGGTAATGGGGGGAGAGGTGGAAGAGAAGGAGGGAGGGAGAGAGGAGAGCAGGGGGCTACACTTCTATTCCATCCCCAAATAGAAAACACTGAAATAACTGTGATGAGTGGCAAGAAGTCTGTAAAACCACATAGCTGTCAGATATCAAGCTTCTGTGCATACTTTTAAATCTAGTTTCAAGGAGCCCTGATATATTTGCTTTTGTCAGCTGAATAGTACTGTTTGCCCAGCAGCAAAATAACACCTCCTGTGTGGAAAACCATGGGTATTTATTATTCCATAGAGCTCTCAATTTGAGATGCAAAAATCATGGACGTGGACAACATCGAGCCCATTTTCTTTCTCACCCTGTCACATAAGATTCTCATACATATAGATTTCTCAGACTAAATTAACTTTATGTAAACATATGCAGCTCCACTCTGCACATCAGAGTTGTTCTAAAATTGATACTTAAGTGTTCAGCTACTGGGTAAAAATGTTTCAATTGTAGAAGTACAAATAATACCTGATTCTGCATATGAATCAAAGGATACATTACTGCTGCAGGCTGCGATACAACACTGACACACCTGGAGTAGCCTGGCCCAGGCAGTGCCCAGCACAGCCAGTTTGACCTTCCACATCTTGCCAGTGCAAAAAAGAAAAAAATAAAGTCTTTGATACAAATAAAAGGATTGTGCTTTGATTACTTTGTTCTTAAGAAAGAACCTAATAGTCTTATCTTAGGTCTGTGTTAAACATTTCTGTAGTTGACGTAAATCTCTGTCTGCCTGAGTGAGGGAAAAGGGAAAAAAAAACCCACAACAGAAAATGTCATTTTTTTCATAGGCTGGAGAACTGATTAATTTTTTCAAGGTTAAAATTTAGATGATAAATTTTTCTCCTCCTCTTTCCATGCTACTATGTGTGCCATGACAATTGGATCTCCTATAACTGTTAGCAGGCTAGAAGAACATTAAAAAAAAGGTTGATGGACTTTTCTCAGAACAGCTACAGCTTTGGAAAAGGAGGAAAATGGCAATTTTTCCTCAGACGCTGATTTATTACTGGGAAATACTCAACCATTCAATAAAGTTTGGTCTTTTTGTCTTCTTGTTTTCTATGAATACATTTCAGTTTCAAGTCATATGAAAAAAGAGGTTCCAATTTGAAGATACTTCCCAGCTGTCCCACATCAGGTCCCTGGCAAACCACCAGTGAAATGCCCCCTTCCCCTTGCATACACACTTCAGATACCGACACCGTCTCTCCTACATCAATCTCATTATGACAGCCTCATGTGACAGTGCCTGGGTGAATTGGCATGGCAGGAAAGGTGGTTAATGAAGCACTTTGATTGCTGTATGAAGAGCTTCATCCTGGTAAAACAGTGACCCAGCAGTGAGAATGAGAAAAGTAGGCTTTATAAGGACATATTGGCAGTGGAGCTTACCATCAGATCATACAGGAGTGAGATCATATCCACTGTGAGAATGGCATCATTTCCCTAAACCCAGCATAACTTCATGCCCCAACTTAGGGTATGGAAGGGACAAGGCAGAAGCAGGGGAATGTGCTCCTATCTTCCTTCTTTTAAATTTCAGGGCTTGAATAGGGTTATTATGCAGGAAGAAAAGACTCAGAGTTCCAAAGCATTTATTGTTACAACACAAAGAGAAAAGAGAGACACTGAAACAACTGTCCCAAAGAATTATGGTGAAGCTGAACTAGAAGAAATAGATAAGACAAAGGATATCATAGAATACAATTTTTTACTTCAGTTGTATTAAGTACTGACTTGAGGAGAAAAGACAATAACACACAAATAATAGAAAAACTATCAAATCAAAAAGGGTAATTTGTTAATAATATGGAACAGAGTAGAATCTCTAAATGTAAAACATTAAAGAATATTCATCAAAAGTAATTAATAGCAGTAATCAGACTTTTAAAACTTCAGTTCTTCCTGTTTATATATTTTAAGATTACTATAAGATTAAGGGGATATAAAGAGCAAATACAGAAAAGAAAGATCTTAATAAATATATAGTACGAGACCTGAGTAACTCCATCTCGTCAGGTGACCTTACCCAGGTCTGAATAGAGTACAAAATTTTTTATAAGGCCTCTGTGATCCTCTTCCTCTTCTTTCTGAAGACATACACTCAGTCAGAAGCTCAGTAAACTGCATCATACATGAAAGTATACTCCAAAATACCTAATTCCAGCATACAAGAGATAATGCTGCTATTGCTTACTTTCCCATCCAAATCAATAAATACCTTAAAAATCCAGGTAAACTTGGAAACTGTAACATGTATAAGATTAACACTGTTTCATAAAAGCCTAGACTCAGCTGAAAAGGCCCTTTGATTCAGGGGAAAATACAATAATATGTTGTCCGAAAGTTCCAGCAGCTTCATATGTTGTGGTAGGGGAAGGAATAGATTTTCTGCTCATTATTTCTTTTCATTGGAAGCAGAGAGATTCTGGATCAGACCACTAGCGATATTTGATAAGGAATATAGTAAACCGAGATAATGGTTAAACTACTAGTTTGGATCCGGGAGCCCCCGGTGGTCCAGGGG